CCAAGAGACTTGCTGGAAAAAGAAAAACCTAATAGGAGGTGAGTAATATGATGACAAAAGTATGAGACAAATCTAAGAATGTTCACATGCTAATAAAAATTAAACAGAGGAAAGGAAAAGGGTAGAGAAAAGAGTAGGGAAGATGCTTGAGTCACGATCCACAGATGAAGCCAGGGTATTGGCCCCATAAAACAGTAGATAAGCTTTCAAATAGGAGAAAGCATCATTTCTCCTGGAAGAAGAGACGCAGGATAACATTCAGATATAAATGTATTAGAGCAGACAAGGAAGTTGGAGAAGTTCTTATTTGGTGGCTTTAATTTTCTCAGTGATTGGTCATGAAATATTTTGATTTCAAGGTATGGAGCAGTGGTGAATTAGTCTTTTGAGACTCAAAATCTTTCCCAGTAACTATTTTTCTAGGTTTATCTGTGCTCAAAAGAATATTAAATTTTTAATTCCCAGAAAACAAAAAGAAATCTATCTCACACTTTGCCTAAATTATTTCTTCTTCTTGGTAAACTCTGTCCCTTCCACACCTTTCTTCACATAATTACTTCCTATTCATTTGTTTTAGTCAAAGTCCAGTAAGGAAGACAATGCTAAGTATTTCAACGAAGGAGATTCAGTTGAGTAAATTGTTTACAAAATTTTTGGAAGGGGTCAGAAAAGGAGAAATGAGAGACTGTTGGAGGAGCAAGATAAAAAAAAGCGGGGGAGGTATTACACAGAAAACAAAAAGCTGTTCTCACCTTGGGCTGATCCCACAAGCCTGAACTACTGGACATGCTGCCTTTGCAAGAACTCCAAGCTGCAGCTGCCTGCATGCTGAGGTTCTCAGGGGTCCAGATTTCACTGTTGCCATCATAGGAGAGTTCCAGTCAACAACATCCCTGACAGAGCACAAAACAAGAAACTTCTCTCTTCTTTTCTATTCCTGATCTCCCCAAAATGCTTCCCACTTCTTACCAAGAAGACAGCTATCAAGGAAGTATGAGAAATGTAGTCTGTAGAATCTTGGCCTCAGCAGTTCCAAGCAGAGCATAGAAAGACTGAACAAGCCTGGAAGCTAACAGATGAAGAACAAGCACATTATCTTTTAGATTTTAAAATGTTACTTAGAAATGGCTTCCTCAGGAAAGACTTTTATTGACTTCTACATGATTTTAGATCCTCCTGCTATAGTTCTTCACATGTTATATTATTCTCTTCCCAAAATCCTTAGCAAAATGAATCACAATTGCTTTCTCTGTGTCTGGTGTGCTCACCAAACTATTAGCTCCATGACAGCAGGAACCACCATCTCCTTTTCCACTCTTATTTCCTTGTGCTTAGTGTAGGATTTGGTCCGTAAAGCAGAATTAAAACTGAGAACACCAAGCGGATTTAACCCAAATAAGACTACTTCAAGGCAGTTAATAATCAAGCTTCCAAAGGTAACAGATAAAGAAAAGGTCCTAATGAAAAGGAAAAGAAAGAAAGAAAGAAAGAAAGAAAGAAAGAAAGAAAGAAAGAAAGAAAGAAAGAAAGAAAGAAAGAAAGAAAGAAAAATGTCATAAAGAAGCTCCACTACGTCTGGCAGCAGACTTCTCAGGGGAAACTTTACAGGTCAGGAGAGAGTGGAATGACATATTCAAAGTGATGAAGAAAAAAAAGAGAGAGAAAAAAAAAAA